CTATTGAACAGCAGCACATAGATTCTTTGAATCACGATTTGTTGCGGTAGATCGTTATTAGCCAACAACCAATTACAGTAGTTAAAGAAGATTCGTTTAGAAGATTTGTCTCCAGGCTCGATCCGCGTTATAAGCTTTCTAGTTGCTACACACTCTCTTCAAACATAAAAAACCAATTTAATTCTGCAAGAGTAAAAATTAAAGAATCTTTAAAAAAAATTAAAAGTAAATTGGCGCTTACTTTAAACATTTGAACAGTATATACACATTCTTTTCTCAGTATTACAGTCCATTGGATCGATGATAAATGAATGAGGAAAGCCCTTACCCTTGATCTTATTCCTTTGCAAGAAACTTATACTGATGAATACATTAGAGAAAAAGTTCTTCACGTTGTTAAAGAAATAGGGATAAAGGAACAGATAATCAGATTTACAAATTACAATATAGAAAATCAGATGTATCAACGTTTCTTTCAAAGATCTATAAACCCTAACCTTACGTACGTGTGTTGTGCAGCAAGTGTCATTGAGCTTATAGTTCAAGTGGGTCAAAAACATATCTTAATCTAGTTCAAAAAGCTCGTAATTTTTGTAATAAAATAAGTTCACCTTTCATCTTAGAAGAATTGAAGCGAATTTCAAATATTTTAGGCAATACTTTTTTTTATCTGTTGGTTGATGTTAAGATTTCTACTTATTCAATGCTTGAGAGCCTCAGTAAAATTCGAGCCATTACTGATGGCCTTATATTATCTCAACCATGTTTAAAAAATGATTATCTGGAAGCTGATGAGTGGATAATCATAGAAGAAATTATACAACTTCTTAAACCATTTAACACAGAGCCATATTTTTTTTGAATACTTCATACCCTTCCCATGGGTCATTGCGATTAATTATCCTAGGACTTTCAATGCATCTTAATCAGTACCTTTACATTGATACACATTGTGAAGCAGCCACAGAAATGAAAAACAAACTAAGAGAATATTGGACTTATCTTAAGAAATCCTCTGCCATTCCTGCCCTCCTCAACCTATCTACAAAATTCGAAACATTTGAACTAACTGACTGTAAAATAGCTATTAATGAGTTAAAAACCTTTTATTCATTAAGTAAGACGAGTAAAAATAAAACAACTACCGAGCCCAAAGATCCATTAGAAGTATTCCGAAAACTTGTGCAAGTAAATGAAGGTGGAAGTGGCGAAACAAAGACAAAAGAAGATGAGTTGGAAGTCTATCTTTTTCTACCACGGGAGCGAGGTGTAGATCCGTTACTATGGTGGAAAACAAATGCCCACTGCTTTCCAAACGTAGCACGTATAGCAGCAGACTACTTATCTTTACAGGTTATAAGCAAGTCTTGCGAACGTTTTTTTCCTACTTTAAATACTACTGAGCTCACTGAGATTGATCCTTCTAAAGAGATGGCTGGTATTCTAGTTGGTTTAAAAAGTTGGTTCGAAGAAGGGGTCATAGAATAAAAAAAAAAGTGTATCAGTATAAGAAATTAAAGTACGATAGAAAAAAAAGAGTTACAGTACTACCTCAATATCGTTCATCTTATCGTTATCTTGTACAACATTTGGGTGGTGGTAACCGGTGACCCACTCTGCACTTGTGGTTCTTGTTCTTGCGCTATCAACTTTACCACTGTTGAGAAAACAGTTAAAGCTTCCCCATGCTTGAAAAGTTGGTTCGAAACAGGAATTAGCAAATAAAATAGTCTTTTGTATTTCTTATATTTTATCGTTATCTTTTTTGTATATGATTTATACTTTTTTCAGGTAAAATAGTCAACTTGAATTAAAGTCGTTTATATTAATAAAATAAAAATTCTAACGTTGTTACGATATAAAGTTACCTTTCATTAAATGTTTCGCTTTTATAGAATTGAAAAATGTTAAATATTACGAGAGGAATTAAAGGCGAAGTAAAGTCTATTTTTTAATATAGCGTGCAGATCCGAAAAATTTTATTAGAGAAAAAATTAATTAGTGATCATCACTATGTAACCTCCACTATGTTTGTAATTAGACTGATATGGGACACCCTAGTATCTTGTGTAATCGATCAATAAATAACACTTTTGTTAGTCAAATATATTGTAGGAATCTACTAAATCCCAATTGGTTTACATCGATATTTGACACTGACAAATAAACTAACTAAATTTAGAAACTGATCCAATTGCACAAAAGGTTAAAATGGAGGGAACCAGTCTATTTCTCTCACTTTAACCTCTTCACCAATGATGAAATTAGAACTTAACGAAAAAGCGCAAAATGTTTTTGGAGATGTCCGTGGAATAGTGAAGGTATGAATCTTTATTATTTTTAAGGTTCAAAAATTCGAATTTAATTTTAATATAATATACATAAATTACAAAAAAAAAAAAAAAAAAAAATAGGCTGTAGTCAAGGATTCCAATGTTAGCGAAGTAAAAACTTAATATCTGCCTTTAAATATTGGTTAAATTCAAAAGCATTTCATTTGATTAAATTGTATTTCTTGAAATTAAAGGAAGTAATGAGAACCGCAAGGCTTTTTTCAAATCTTGATACGTCTATGAAATCCACTCATCAGGTATTTTGTTTTGCTATTGCGAGTTTTTAGTTCAAAATACCTATTCTATTTTATTTTGATTTTATTTATTTTGGAAATTATAGTCTTTACAAAAATTAACACAAGGAATAAACGAACTTCAAGAAAAGTAACATTCATTTTCACTAGGTGTTTTCTGTATTGTAATAAATTTACTTTTTTGTTGACTTTTTATTATTCCAAGAAATAATCAGATATTAGATTTATTATATATGCTTCCTCAAGTATCTGAGGGATTAAAAATTGAAGGATTGGTTAGACGTCCTCCTGAAGCTAATAATAATTTAATATAAATTATTAGGTATGATTCTTTTGTTTTTTTTATGAGTAATGCGATTGTAAATATTTTTTACATATTAGATCATGCTTATAAACACTTATACACGTTTTACATCACCCTAATAGATAAACATTAAGATCGAATTTTTTCAACTAATCGTTATAAACTTTACTTATTTTCATTGAATCCAGACTAACACAAAAATATTGTTATCTATTAATTTTATTGAAAAAAAGATTGGACAAAAATAAATTTATTCAATTTTTTGCGATGCATTTCTTTTGATCGTTTTTGCTAAAATTTAAATTTTGCAAATGACAAAAAAAAAATAATAAAAATAAAAAAAAGTTACTATTCAGTGTAATCCCTTCTTGCATTAAAAACATCAATTACACGCTGCGGCATGCTTTCAATAAGCTTGTTAATATACTCCATATCCATCTCGACCCAAACCTTTTTAATTACTTCCCAAAGCGCATCCGGGTCAGAAAACCCCTATGGATAACCGCCTTATTCGTCGATAAAGTACCTCTATGTCATTATGATAGAACCGCTCTTCAGTCTCGGTAACAGTGTGTTTGAGTCATTGTCCTGTTGGAATATTATATGATTATCTATGATATCTATGCTTCTATTGTTTCAAATTATCCAATTTGTAAACAAATATCGTGCCTGAGTCACGAGATATTACTATTTTTTCATCATCAATATGGGTGATGCAACATATGGCAGCCAAGTGTACTAAGTAAACATTACTTTATCATATTTCTTATTCTTTTTATATTACTGGATCCTATTTAATAATTTCACCACATGTTTAGTAGCTATCTTTAATCATCGTAGAAAATCGGTCGATGTACAAGACCAAATCACAAACAACCATTAAATCGTATATCTTTTAAACTTGTAATTGGTTGTTGGCTAATAACGATCTACCGCAACAAATCGTGATTCAAAGAATCTATGTGCTGCTGTTCAATAG